TTTTCTCGGTCGGCCTACTGATCTTCTACCATCTGGTCTTTCAAAAAACACTGTCTTTAACACTGTTTGCCTTGGTATGTCTAACTATGTTTTCAGTTCCATACAGAGTCATCAATTCAGCATTACGTTGTCTTCTCCAATCCCCTGTGAATTCATCTTTTTGAGGGCCAAATATTATTCTCAGAACCTTTCTGATATTTTCTGAATTGCAAATTTTTATTTTGTATGTACTTTGGTTACTATTTTTTGTATTTACCTTATGCACAAAAACAATTTTTATTGTAACACCATCAAATTTTGTACACCAACTTTTCTGACACTTTCCTGAATCGAATGCAAAAAGTTGCACAACGATTCATCTTGCTGCTGAAAATTGGTAGGCTTAGTGCTTTGTAGTGCTCCATTTTCTCGCTTAATATCTCAAATTTCTGAGACATTAAACCCATGAGTACACTTCCACCTATTTTTTCCAATATTTTCCGTATTTTATTTAATTTATGTGTACATATTAAACAAAATGGGAGTATTTATTTAAAATAAAATCTTTTAATGAACATTTTAAGATACGATAACCAAAATACTATTAATATACAATATTTTAAAATGACCTCACATGATCGACTTCATATGACGTTAAAAGGGATGTGGTTATGATATAAATGTATTTAAGACTATCTTTAATACATTTGGAAAGTCAGAATTAACAATGTAGTGAGTAACGATTCTAATTGACATTTCTTTTGAGGTTTAAAATGTGTGACTAATTACTAAGTATTTATTACAATTATGTATGACGTTAAACAATATTTGAAAGCTTTTGATGCCAACTATATCAAAGATCAAAATAACATTAGGAATGTTTTGAGATTTTAAAAAATAAAAATTTGCTCAGAGATTTTAATCTTATTTTAGTTTTAAATATATTCGCCATATAGTTTCCTATGCAGATTACTTGGACTCCAAGAAGATGTTGGCTGCACTCTCAAACTCAAATGCGACAGGTAATATGGGTGTAATAATCAATGAACTGGTAGAATTACAAATAAAGAAGTACAGGAGAGGGTTGGTAAAGAAACAGAACTAATCACCACTATACAAACCAGAAAACTGGAATACCTAGACCACGTGATGAGGGGACCAAAATCTGAAATTTTGAACCTCATAATACAGGGAAAGATTCAAGGAAGAGGATCTGTTGTCCGAAGGCCGAGAAAGAACTCATGGTTGAAGAATCTACGGGTTTGATATGCAGATCGATTGATTTGTTTAGAGCAGCAAGTTCAAAAATAAAAATAGCCATTATGATTGTCAACCTTTGTAGGGAGACGGCACTCTAAGAAGAAGAAGAATCAATGAAAGCAAAAAAGCTCATATAATCACGGATAGACTACAGAATCAGCAACATGCGATAACACTTTAACATTTTTAACTATAATTTTGAAGTGGTGCAACAGTTCCCTGACCTGGAAAGCCTGATTAACACTACGCATATAATATAAGATTTTTCATTGTTTTAGGACAATAGCAAATCGTCCTAGGAGCCATTGTCAAATTCCAAAAACTTGTATAATGCAATGGTATACATTATATATCTTAATACTCTCAGTCCTTCTTCTTATTCTTAGGGTGCCTGTCCGTTCCGAACGTTGGCGATCATTCTGCCTATAATGACTTTGTTGGTTGCTGTACGAAATAGCTGTGTTGAGGTCTTTCTATACATGCTCTCAGGTTAGCAAGCCAGGATATTCTTCTTCTGGGACCCTTTCTCCTTCAATTTTCTTTGCAAAATGCATTGGATTAGCTCATATCTGCCTTGATTTCTCAATATATGTCCCAATTGCAGTACTGAAGCTTACGGCCCTTCACGATGTTGACCAAATCCGCGATTGTGTTCATCCGTCGTAGTACTTCCTTACTGGTGACTTTGTTTGTCCAACTGATGATCATTAGCTTGGTTATGCTGGTGTTTATATCAAGTCCATATGTTCTTCTTGTTGTCTTCTATTGTATTGAAAAATACTGTTGTGTCATCTTCATGTCTGCACCTAGTCGTAATATATGAATCTAAGATATAAGTCCTGTCTAATACAGATGAAAGCAGACTGATAATATTCTAGAGAAAAATAATGCAGAAAAATCGAAAAAAACTATACGATACAGTGGCCGTATACCCTGAATCCTTATAGAACAAAGAATGGCGAAGAACGGGCAGCCCAACTGGCCAGAGCAAATGAAAGGTATCTAGCAAGACGTACTCTATTAGCGAAACCCTACTGAATGAGACAGCGACGCGTAACAAACATTTTTTAAGAAATCCAAGTACACAGCACCTGTCAACGGTGAATTAAAGAAACTGGGCATATTAGTTGTCTGTCTATTACTCCTATCCAAACATTTACTAAAAATCTGTACTGCGAGTGGGATTCGCGAATCGCATGGGGATTTCGTCTGCCCAAATCTGTGAGTTGCGCGAGTTGAACTTGTTGGATGTGATAAGGGCAGAGATGCTGAAAATAAATTAATATTTCTTAATACTCGGTCAACTTTTGAATGAGGAATGCCTAATTATATGCTTAAATATATGCCGAATTATATGCTTAAATGTTCGTTCAGATTTTGATTTGGGAAATGTTCTTTTATTAAACGAAAGGAAATTAAAATCATTTTATTTTAAAATTAGGTTACAATTTTTGATGTATTGTTTGCTTTTATACCATTCAGTAAAAAGTTGGTAAGTATTTTTTGGGTATATAAACTTTTGACACTGTACGCTTTTTGTCGTTTTTCTGTCCTTTTTCGACGAGCAAAAATGACATCTTGCCTGGAACTTATACTGGCTATATGCGTAGATACCTTGGGATGTCCAATATTTTTTTTTTCATAAGACTTCTCATAGTTACTGGTAACATAACCATTTCTTGATTACCTTCTTGACGAAGTTGCGGTGTAATGAGACTGATTGCTAATTATTTCAAAAAGTTTCGGCGGGTACTAAGAGTTATATCTCTATTTATTCCAGATATATTCAAGGAAGTAGAAAATAATGTTCTTATTTTTTACTTAAAGAGGCCATTGGTAACTTTTTCGTGACACAGAGTAAGTTCCTTTTTGGCTTGTATGCATCGCCACTTTCTGGATCAATCTCGTCTTTGTAGTGCATTGTATTGACAATAATGTAACTATTTTGTTTCGTTTGGGCTCATAGGATACCAAAGTCATGTTTTTCGGTAAGACCAAAAATGCTCGAAGTAACTTTACGGTAAAAATTTCAGGAATTTCTTTTTTATTTTTTGCGAATTGTGCTGTTTACAGTTAGTTTGTGTTTTTTTAGCAAATCTAAGGCTAAAGGTATTGACGTAAATCAATCGAAAGTAACATTTTTTCCAGTTCCAGAAATTGGTTTAATTAATCTTTGTACGACTGAAGAGGCGCTATTGTCAACTTTATAGTGCCTATATGATTGAGTCCCAATATACACCTCTAGATTATAGGTGTAATTCGACGGGGAATCAACAAGCGCTAATATTTTGATTCTATACTTTGCAGGTTTATTCAGTAGGGTTATTGCCAAAATCCACATTTGCCATTTGCATTTCATCAATTGTCACAAATTCACTTAGAGCATAATTGGCTTTGCATCTCTCAACAAATCCATCAAAAAATTCTCTTATAGGAGATAGCTTATCGTACTGTTTTCGTTCCTCTCTATTAAAATATAGAAGACCAATAAGTGCTTTAATTTCTTCCATATTTGCACTGGTGCCATGTCTTTCTCGACTGTAATATGTCCGAAGCTTTAGGATATATTTCTTTGTCAACTATTTCGCTGATGACGGAGTCTGGAAAAAACAATTACCAAATATCAATAATGTTTCTGCTCCATGTTCTTTTTTTAAACAGCTAGGGGAAATTTATCCCACAACGTCTTTTTGTCCCTTTTACAGACAACCATTTAGATCTTGCTGAGTTTCACTAAAATCTGGTAAAATCTTCTCCTCCTGATTGCTCTGAATTATAGTGGTGATCATTGTTCTCCAAAACGTCATCTTGGCTTTCAGGAGGTCCACCTATCTCATCGTCGCTCTCAATTTCAGCCCATATGGCTAAAATACGCTTGATTTCTTTCTCGTTAGAACACATAACCTGCAAATAAAGAAATACTAATAAAAATCACCATACTTGTGAATATATTTTCCTTTAAAATACTAGACTTTAAAAAGAACCACACACAGGGTTCACTAACCGTATTATTAACTGTAAAAAAGCACAACAATATTAAAACTGTGAAACTGCAACACAAATATCTTTGATACTTGTGTCCACACGCACGGTCAAAAGAACTGACTACACAAATATTAAACTGTATCTTACAAAGACCAAATAAAAACTGAAATAATATAACGCCATTCGGTAAGCAGAAAAGCGCTTGGAGCATTCCAGGAAGGTCAGTAAAGGTAATGGAATTTGACAAGAGCTGTGACCTTGTAAATAATAGGTAAACTTGTGTACTAAATCAGCATGACTCATAGCTCTTGTTAAACTCCATTACCTCTACCACCACCACTACTATACAAGCGGTCAATGTTTGGTCAAAACTTCACATACATCGAACTCACCGTTTAATAGAAAGTTCAGACAAAATTCACAACTCGCCCTGTATATTCTTGATCTATGGAAACAGACACTTTTTATTGATCATTTGTGATTTCCCATAGGGGCTTCCATACGACGTAGGAGTATGTCGGTTCCTCATGATTCACCCCGTATATTTGGAATTCTACCACTATTTAGAAATAGTCTAGCTATCTTTACACAATTGACTCACCTAGGTATTTAAAGATTAGGTAATTAAACTACAGATTGTCTATAAATTTTTACAGAATTAGATCAAAGTGTTAACGTTAATATGAATTTGATTGGCGAGTATTAAAAAATGATATTCCAAAAGAAATTCTAAATAATTTGTATTAAATGAATCTTATATTTTCATTATTTTTCAGGTACACACCATAAAAGGAATACGGACACTCACGAAGCTTACTATCATACAGGAGTAGAATCTTATCACAACCAAGAAGGTTATGGCCCACCACATCATAATCATGATGGGTAAGTACCTACTTATTACGTAAATTTACCACAATAAGTGGCAGTTTGGTGGTCATAATACTCTTCTTATAACGATAATTCCAAAAATTACTAAAATAAATAATATGTGTAATAGTTAGGTAGAAATATTTCCAGACGATTTACATCCGGAAAGATCATCAAAGCGGAAAGACATTTAAGCAGTAATAAATAAAATTTACCGCATCACCAATTAATAGTTTATAATAATAATTTATATGATTCATTCTTTAACTTAATAGAAACTACCAATTGATAAAATTAAAAATATAAATTTTAGAAAAACTCTAAATGTAGCACCGTTATTTCTATCTTGAGTTGATAAAATTCACAGTTACTTTGAATCCTTCCAACTATGATTTTCCATTTCCATCGCAATTATGCAAATCCATTGTCGCCTATAGGAATGGTAGAAATGATTATACGTGTATGGCAAATGCGTCAGAGGACTTCACCAAATCTTCCAATTTTTGTTCTTTACTTTTTATTGCATAGCCAACTGACCAGATCTTCCATTAATCTCCTTTCTTTTAATATATAATAACGACTATCAGATAAAATATGAGGCGTTCATGGTGGTTGTCCAATATACAGAGATCCTACTTCCCCTCTTTTTATTATCGTACTGGCATCAGGCCTGGTCTACCTTTAACGTTAATATGACATTTAGATTATATTTGTTATTTCGCAGAATATGGCCTAACAAGGAAACGTTTCGCTGCTTAACGAGTTCAGCAATTCTCTTTGAACATTAGCCATTGTTAGGACCTCATCATTTGCTCCATGGTCCACACATTTAATTCTAAGCAGTCTTCTGAGACACCACACTTCGAGAGCTTCCACACGATTCATAGATTTCACTTTAAGTGACCAGGTCTCATTTCCATTCATCGTGATGGGCCATATACAACATTTCAAGACCCGGATTCTAAGGATTATAGAAACTTCACGGCCAAGGAAGTATTTGTCAAATTTAACGAAGGTGTTTCTAGCCATTGGTACTCTTATCTTCACTTCCATGTCCCACTTGCTTTTAATACAGCTGCAAGGTATTTAAATCTTTCAACCCGTTCAATAGCTCTATTATTTATATTCAACTAAACTTCCATATTACCCTTTTGTATGGAGTTGAAGCTTGGACACTTAAAAAATCCAACATTAAAAACCTAGAAGCATTCGAAATGTGGTGTTACCGACGTATTTTGAAAATATCATGGATGGATCGCAAAACAAACGAACAAGTTCTCGAACAACTAGGAAAACAATGCGAAGTTTTAAATTCCATAAAAATAGGGAAATTGGAATACTTGGGGCACATAATGAGAGGTGAAAAGTACGAACTACTAAGGAATATAATGCAGGGTAAAATTCAAAGGTAGAAGAAGCGTAGGAAGACGTAAAATCTCGTGGCTACGCAATCTCCGTGAATGGTTTGGATGCAGTTCAATTGAACTATTCAGGCGAGTAACCAATAAAATTATAATTGCCAGAATGATTTCCAATCTCCGATAGGAGTGGAACTTGAAGAAGAAGAAACTTCCATTGAGTCTGCTGATATTTTGATGTTAAGCCTGTACTCCTCTCCAATTTCATTTATGATATTCACTAAATCTTGCAGCTCTTCTATATTTTCCGGTTTAATGACCGTGTCGTTAGCATATCTTGGGTTATTAAAATAAATAAATAAATAAATTAAGACATGTAACTGTGATGCCTTTTTCGTTATGTTTTGCAAGCTGAGATATTTTTTCTTTATAAATATTGAACAGCAGTGGAGAGAGAATACAATCGTGTCTTATGACTTTCCTAATCTCAATTTCATCTATGTGTGGGCCATTGACCATCCTTAGTTTCAATTTATTAATTACAATATAGTTATTGAATCATTTTCATGTCTTTATCATCGAGCCTAATTTCGTTTAAGGTCTGTATCAATAGGAAATAAAAAATACGCTCTAGTCAGAAACAGGTCAGATACAAGAAAACTTATCGATTATCCATTTGCCATGGAATATGTAGTGCTGCTGAAATATACCCAACAGAATAAGAAAAAAATCAGTTCAGAAAATCTACCAAAATAAATTCTAAAAAACATAACTAGTAACTAGTGAACTGACGAAGCTTGGACTGGAGATAAAAATTGTACAAAAGAAATCGATAAACAGTATTTTATGAGATTATCAAATGGGTGGTATCAGAAATTTTAAATCAATCTTCTAACACTTCTAGTTACAGTTTTTCACCTCCGTTTTGTCCTCTGTTAATAATTTCATTAGAATGATTCTTAACCTTCTGATCACGGCAAGAAGATCATACATAGGCCACATATCACACTGGAACAACTGTTGGAAAAGAAAAAAACAAAAAATAGAGATATACATTTGGCATTTGTGGACCTGAGAAAGGCGTATGACTCTGTACCAAGGTTAGAACAATGGGAGGCAATGTACAAATTAAAAATACAGACTCAGGATCTGCTTGAGGATCGCCTTCAGTCTACTCTGTCAAAACTACGTCGTCTGCATAGCATTCCATCCTTATTTGCTTTTTTCATTTCCCGCTATTTTTTCTTTCTACTTCTTTTTTAAACTCGTTCAAAGTTTTTTGTAATAAAACCCTGTATAAGCCATAATATATAAAAAGTATAGTATAATTAACCTACACTCATAATTTATTTCAGATATCATCAACCAGGAGCTGAACCTCGGTCGTATTCTGGATCCAACGCAGACTCTTGGAACGATTATCAAACACGACAAAGAATTCCACAACATAATCCCTTCAATACTCCTCAGGATATTTTTCCGCGGCAAAGAATCCCACAACGTAATCCATTCACTACTCCTCACGATTATCAAACACGACAAAGAATTCCACAACACAATCCGTTCAATACTTCTCCCGATCATGATTCATCAAATTGTGAATCTTGCGGCGATGACAGAAATGGTAGAAATAATCAGAAGTCCGAAGCAGTAACTACAAAATACGCTAACAATAGCGCAAAAGAGGTAACTTTGTTCATATACACTAATTGCTAAAAATATGATCTAAATTTTAAATAAAATATATTTTCAAATGACGAAACGGTTTATTTATTTGAAAATGTGAGTTTATTTAAATGATATCTAAAGAAAAGTGTATAATTACAATTCTTTAAGTTTATTAATTCTTAAATGAAACTAAGAAGGCTGAAAATAAAATTATTTGTTTTATTTTTATTTGTAGTTTCTTAGTTTTTTTCTATAAAAACTAAAATAAAAATTCGACTCCAAAATAAAAGAAAACTAGATAAAAAATCTTAATTAATTAATTAAATAATTAATTGAATTGAATAATATGCTGAATGCGGTAAAGAGACTTACTGGCACCATGAAAACCTATAGCTATAAATAATGATATTTTACAAATAAATTCGCACATATTTAAACTCTAATAAATGTTCTAATCGACACCAAAAATACTGAAAACAAACAAACTTACAGTTTATATTCATACAAACTGCATTATAGTCGAACTTCATCGAAAATTCACCAAAATAATATTGTCATTGAGTGTTTAGAAAGTACAAACATCAAAAAAACATCGAAAATTTCCAATACAAAGAAAACTGGTAACTAAGAACATTAAATATTGTTTTTTGAAAGTTAAAAAAATACTTACAGGAATAATAACCACCGACACTGACGATAAAATCAGTGAGCTTAAATCAGTTTTACAAAATATCAGTGAGCTTTAATAAACCATTTAAATGGGCCACCTTGTGCCATTCAACCAAGTAAATAATCTTCGCTGGAATGAGAAATTTAGCTTAGATCTCACTTTACTGTTATATTTCAATTATAAACTTAATTTTACGCTTATTTATACTCGCTTTCCTAACCAACAAAGATTATAGCGGGATAAGGCATTGAAATCTGCAGTCGGATGGATTTCTATTTAGGTTTAGCAATTGAAAGTATATAGTTAGAAATCCCTTTAGCCAAATTTTTTTAGCTCTCTAGATGGCTCCTCATCATCATCATCATTAGCTTTTACAACTCTTCGTGAGTTTTTGCCGCGTTTACTATTGCCTTCCATTGATTCCGATCCTATGCTATTTTTTCCCATGGCCTTACTTCCATCTTCTCCAGGTCTTCCCTGACTGCGTCTTTCCACCTTTTTTCTAGGCCTTCCTGTCGATCTTCTACCATCTGGTCTTTCCCAAAACACATTGCCAATCAGTCTGTCGTCATCACTCCCGTACCACGTGGCCTGCCCATCTTAATATATTGGCTTTTATGTATCTTACGAGGTTTCTTTTCCCGAAGAGAGTCTCTATTTCATTGTTGTATCTGCTCCTCCATTTATTTGTCACGCTGTCCCTGCAAGGACCATATATAATTCGCAGGATTTTGCGTTCCCATACTAATAGCTTATTGATTTCTTTCTTTCTCAATGTCCATGTTTCACTTCCATATGTCACTGCTGGTCGTATTATGGTTTTGTACATTTGGATTTTGGCACGCCTTGAGAGAAGCTTTGACCTCATTAGATGTTGAATGGCAAAGAATGATTTATTCCCCGCCAGTATTCGTATTTCAACCTCCCGTTCTCCTGTGTTTTCACTGGTAATTGTTGTTCCTAGGTAGTTGAATTCTTTGACCACCTCAAAATTATGATCGGTTATGGTAATGTTTTGTCTTATTCGCTGTGGTTCCTTTTTTGATACGACCATGTATTTAGTTTTTTTTTCGTTTATTTTCAGGCCTACGCTTAGTGTTGCTTCTTCAAAGTTCGATACTATATCCTTAACTTCCAGTGTTGTCTGTGCTACTGCATCTACATCATCTGCAAATGCGAGAATAATCTTTGCTCCTCTGGCAGTTATGTCTGGTTTGACTCTGGTATAGATTTTTCGCATTGCGTATTCCAATGCTAGGTTAAATAGTAATGGGGACAGCGGGTCTCCCTGTCTGAGCCCGGTGCTTATGCCGAAAGGCCCCTGGTGTCCCCTATCGCAAAAATGTGTTTTTTCGAAAAGAAAAAAAAATCCTGAGCAATCCTTTAATTTAAATCTGAAAAAATTTACAAACATATATTTTAATGCCCAAAAGCAATCTATTTTTTTATTTTTTGGATCAAAGTTATGCTCAGAAAGAATATTTGAAATTTTCAAAAAAATTTTAGGTTATGTAGGTAATTTTTGCTCTACGTCTAAATTATTATTTTGGTGTATTTTTTTCAGTCTTTTAAATAGCTGAGTTAGATTTTTCATTTTCGCTCCGGAAAATCCTCAAAATTTAAAAAAAGAACCATTTTTTTTAATATTTTTTTGCTAGGTTTTAAGGACATAACCTCATCCAAATGTGACAAATCACGGTTTTTGATTCTCTCCTCCCCCACCTTTATTCGATTATTTGAATGGTGATTATCATTTAAATATTTTCCTGCCCAAAAACACTCTGATTTTTTTCTGATTGTTTTAATCAAACTTGAGCTCAAGAAAAGTATTAGATTTGCCATTTTCGGACTAGAACATGCTCAAAATACGGTAAAACCTCTTTTTTTGATATTTTTTCAAATGTTTTAAGCTCATAACCTTATTTAAATATCACAAATAAGGATTTTTGTTTCTCTCCCCCCTTTTATTTAAGTGGCGATTATCATTTAAATATTTTCATGACCAAAAAAACTCCGATTATTTTCAGATTTTTTGGATCAAAATTGAGCTCAGGAAAACTAAACAATTATTTTTTGTGTATTTTTTCCGTTATTTTGAGTTGCGGGTTGGATTTTCCATTTTCGTTCCGGAAAATCCTCAAAATTTGAAAAAACTCTTTTTGGTATTTTTCCTATTGGTTTTAGCACATAATCTCAACTGTGTGTCAATAAATAACGGTTTTTGATATATTTTTTATTATTTCTAAAAGAGCGATAACCCAAATCATTTTTTATCAGGTATCTCCTTTAAATCCACTGCACACTTTTACAACATCAGTACAACATATCAATATCTTCCTCTATGTTATTTGACGTTGACGGTATTATGTTAAGTTCGAATGGTCTATTTATCTCGATGATAATTACTGGAAAAACCTTATACACATTATTTCACTGTAGCTGTAACAAATACTCTATCTCCATTTCTTATTGTGTCAACATATCACTATTATTTCGATCTCACCTTACTTATTTTAATTAATTTGTAATCCATTCCCCGTTTTTTTAACTTTGTGGACTTGTTGCAACATTGTAACCTTTCTGAGGATTTCACTCAGCAGTCAGCGATGAAACTCATTGGACGAAACGAGGCCAAAATCTTATTTATTACTTGCTACATTATTTTTCTTACGAAATACATACTAAACAATTGCTTCTGATTGACTTTCGCATCGTTAGGTTCCCTTTATCCGCTCTCAGAAAAGATTTTCCTAATTTTCCTAAGAGCCTTGTGTAACTCCTGCCAAGTGAGGTTAATCCTTATATCGGCATTCACTCGTCCCTCCTACGTTAGTTACTTCCGCTGTTTCATATGTGTTGCTCAACTTCTACCATGTAGGCGTGCCAAACTGAAAATTATTAGATGCATACGTGAAATGACAACAAATGATAAAAGTAAAAATGAATTTATTAAGAAGAACTCGAGGCATTGTAGACAAATTAAGAAAGGTTAATATGCTTCGGGGATGTTTAACACCGAAATAAAAATTATGCAACGCAAAGAAATCATTGAAATAAATTGGAATATCATGTTTTTAATTAGGAAATTTCATCTTTCGAAGAATTATTCGACCAAAATTAAATTAAAATTAAAAATCTCATGTTAAACTAATTTATAATTTAAACGTACCGTTATTATCACTATGTATATTATGGATACTATTATTACGCAGAAATTCAGTAAATTATGGATTGTTTAATATGACAGTATAATTAATAAAGTACATATTTGTAGCATTGTATCTATCACCTGTTCACCTTGGTAGATCTACACCTACAAAATATAATTTATAATAGATAGTTTTGTGCGATAATTAATTTGTTAATACTTGTACTTTGTTAATAATACTAATAGAAAATATTAAATTTAGAATCAAATAATCGTACTAGAGGAATTTTTTGTAGTATCAAAAATATTCAAAGAAAAGTCCCGAAGGTACCAGCAAAAATTTGACTCATGCTAAATAATTATAACATTATTTATATATTATTATGTAAAGCAAATTAAGAATGTCTTTGTTTACTATAATTTTGCCCATTAAAATTTAAGTTAAATGGGATGTAAATAAAGATTAGATATAGTAAATAAATAAATGAATATTCTTAAATCATAATTTTAGAAAAACAATCAAAAGCGTAGTGATAATTTATTAATTTAAATATCGCCAATAGTATTCAGAATTATCAGCTGTTGAATAAATCAGATAGAATAAACAGAATTAAAACTAAATTGTGATAGGTTCCTGTTTTATTTATGATAAAAAATAACAATGTTTTTACTAATTTCATTCTTTTTCGAAAAAACAAATTCAAGTTACTTTACAAGTTTAAACTTGAAGAGTATTGACAAATTAATCTATTTTAAACACGTTTTAGAACGAAACAACTTTGGAAACCATCCACCTGCAGACAAGTTCATAAATAATTAGATTACTTTTAACAATAACACGCGTAAAATGAACCGGCTCCCCTGTTTTAATATTTATCGACACCATATAAATAAATATAAATAGTCAAAAAAAAGGAATAGAAATATGGACCAGCTTTGTCCGGATTCTTCTTCTTCTTCTCGTGCCACTCCTAGCGGAGATTGGAAATCATCATGGCCACTGCGACTTTGTTAGCAGCGCGCCTAAAAAGTTCAATCGAACTACAACCGAACCATTCACGTAGATTACGAAGCCACGATATTTTTCTTCTTCCCACACTTCTTTTGCCCTTAATTTTGCCCTGCATGATGTTTCTTAAAAGTTCGTACTTTTCACCTCTCACAATGTGCCCCAAGAATTTCCATCTTTCTAGTTTTTAA